TTTTTTTTTTTTTTTTTTTTTTTTTTTTTTTTTTTTTTTAATTTTTTTTTTTAATTCCAATCAACTAAAGTACAAAGTCTAATTAAACCTAGGATGTAATTGATTCATTTCGTTATCGTTTCCTTCGTGTGCAACCATTGGCGATTCGTAGTTAATCTTGTGTCTTATTGATGTTCTAAATTTTTGATGTGTCGTTCACTGATTTTGGTTAGCCCTTCCTATTTTCCTCAATTCGAATTATTTTCTTGCTAATTACTAATAGATTGGGTGCAGTTTATGATTATCATTGCTGAATTCATGCATGTTGCTAATGCTGAGAAATTGTACATTCACCGTTGACAAGGAAAATAGAAGATGCGCGAGGAATGTGAGGAATGTGAGGAATGACCAATTTGGTCTGAGATAAGTGACTAAATTGGTTTAGTTTTTCTTTGGATTTTGAGTTGATTTTGACCATATTCACTTAAAAGTTACAGTAGAGTATTTAAGACTAATGAGATGACTAAAATATGACTCATTAAAGAAATTTTCTGTATGAAATGTAATTGAAAGCATGTTGGATTATCGAAATATGATTTATTGAAGAATGTTGCGTGAGAACTATAATTAAAAACATGATGAATTATATGTTAGAGCAATTCACTGTACTCTGTATATGATTTGCTAAAGGTTGAAGACGTTGATGTGGTCGGTTCAGTTGAGTCTGTGGCAAGATACGTCTAAAACTTACCTCCCACCACCTCGTACGCTTCTTATCTCACCTCGATTTCTTCTACAAATTTGCAGAGAACGTTGCAAGAAAGGGTTATGGCTGGTTTCTTGGTCTCTCATATACTTTAGATGAAGATATTTGCGGGACAACATCTCTTAGAAACCAACGTCCTTGTCGAAGCTGACCCAATTCTTCTTCCTACTAGTTAACGCACTTCTTAAGCTTATAGAAACAACCTTTAATGGGTATAGTATTTTAGACTTATTTATCTCTCTGACTTCTTTCATAAGAAAAAAAAAATATATATCTTATCATCACGAAGTTAAAGGAACAAAATTTAAGCAACGACATGGAGCTTAGGGATTGAATTTTGAATTTCTTCTAATGGTTCAAAAACTTACTCATAAATTGTAACGACCCAAAATTTCCACATACTCAGAGTCGCTACTAACGTCTCATGCTCATCTATAATACAGAAATATAACTCTTACATGAACATAATTGATAATAAAAAATTTCAAGAAAACGTTTAAAACAACTTCTCCTCTGAAAAACACTGCCATGGTCTTACGTGTTTAAATATGAAATACTGAAATTTAGAGAAACTAAAATAAATACAAAATAATTTAAAACAATGAAATGCAAAACAACCTATTCTAACTTAAGACTAGAAATTTAAATATGAGTCTACCCTATGCACGTGCCACAGTCTCTGCTCGCGATGCCGCCGTCCTCCGTACAAGTGCGCCTCGCCTTTACCTGAAAAATGATGTGGCACACGGCCTGAGTATTTCAAAGAATACTCAGTAAGTGGCCCCACTATAGGGGGCCATGCAAATGCAAACACATGCAATCATGATTTAGGGACCTATCTCTAATCATCTTAGGGGTGGCCTCCAGTCTCGAACAAATTGGATGTGTAGTACTTCCCTACACACGACTCACACGTGCGAGTGTGAATCCCCAGGGCGCTCGCACACCCCCTGGACCCTCTGGTCAAGCTAATCTGTAGCGACGTCCGGAGGTCAGCGGAACCCCATAGTGTCATGCACCTCATGAACACCCTCATCTGTGTGCTTTCGCACCTGTGCGCATACGCGCTCATCATACGGTGCGCGTCCGCACTCATCATCTCTAGGGGAAGTAGCCCTATGCTTATGAACATACAATATGCATGAGGTCCCTCTAAATCCATCATAATGTCTCTTCTGACACAACCCTCTAGTCTCATCTCTTTGTTACTCTGGGTAACACATACTCGTGGATATTTATATTAATATCATTTTCACGCTCTTAGGGTTGTGTCCTATGTCGATCTAACGACATGATGCAATATGACACTCATCATCATATAGCATGCTCAATATGGAAAACATCATCATATTAAGGTAAACGTCACGCAATCATCATACTCATCATATTGCCACAAAGTGCATCAAACATATCAAGTACGACATTCATCAAAATATATAAATACTGAGCACATCATCAGGTATCATAACCCACACATCATCATAAGTCATACATCATCATAACTCATATACCGCATCATACGACATAGTTCATACAACATCGTAACTCATACAATTTTTAGCCTATCCTATAATAAGGCCACTTACCTGGTTGGCCTTAGCCGAAGTACTCCCTAATTTAATTAACGTAAGCTCCCGTTCCTCGAGAGTTGCTCTAAAGGTTACTGGAGTTCGCTTCATATCCCACCGTTCGTCACCTTTTGTTAGTATTTCACATTTTAATTAATAATCCAACTAACAATGTGAAATACGGCTCTAAAACGGTCTCAGTAAAAATCGAATTCCAAGTTTTCATTGTTTCTAAATTTTCTAAAACTCAAATTGAAAATAATATTATTTTATGCTGCTCTGAATCATCAATCCAATTATGGTTTGTTATAATATTATATTATCTGGATACAAACAATAATAATTTTTCACATTTTCCATTTTCTTTCCGTACCTCTTTGTTCTCTTCTCTCTGTCTTTTTTTTTTCTTCCTACAAATGATTATGCAATTATAAAACAATTTCAATCCATTCTGTTCTCCTCCTTTCCTAATATGACTATCCAATTAATCTATTCTTTTTTCTTTCTCTTTCCCAAATGACTATCAAATTCATTTACAATCCCTTCTAATTTCTTTCATAAAACTGACTATGCATCAATCAATTATGATTTTCTTCTCTTCCCTAAAAATGATGATTCATGCAATTGACAAAACCATTTTCAATCAATTTTGATTTCCGAGAAGAGATTCAAAAATCTAAATAATTGAAAAAAGAGAGATCTAAAACAATTTTTCTATCTCCTGCAAAAATAAAAGAAGAGATCTAACTTACCCATAAATTTTCTTATCTCTTCCCTTCCTATCAGATCTTCTTGGAGTGAAGCCATTCCTTCCCAGTAGCCATTTTTTTTTTCTCTTCTGTTTCTTTCTTTTGCAGATCCCTTTGCAGTTGGATGTGTTGGGGAGATATTTGGGGAAGGTGGAGAGAGGGTCCCTACTTTATTTTTTTTTTATAATTATTATTATTTTTTTCTTTTTTTCTTTTTTTGGGTCGTTACATAAATGACTTATTCAATTACTCTATATACGAAGCTTGAATCTAATGAAAGGGGTCTTGTTGGATGAATTCATGCCACAAACCTCTAATTGATTTTTCTTTTCTTCCCCGAATGTGGCATTTAAGAACTTGAATGGGGCAAAACTGTTTCAGCCATTTTAGTCCTCAACTTCAAAAGGAAACTTGTGAGTAATCTTAGAACTATACGTGGTTGACATACCATAGAATCATACCCAAAGAATAACTTAAAAAAGTCTATAGTATATGAATAAGGTTGAGTGTCTTATCGTGGTAACACTATTGATACGACCCACTTTATAATTGTTATAAATGATTCGATCCAAATCATTTATGTGGAGATACGTGAGTGGGGATATCCTATACAATGAGTTTGTGTAAGACTAGACCACGAAATATTTAATCTCTTTTTATTTAGAAAATTAATATTTCATAAAATGATTAGATGTGACTCGATCTTTATCTTGAGTGAATTATGAACTCGTACCTGTAAAGGCTTATCCTAATTTGTATGGGTGCTAGTGACTTTTGCAACCAATTCAATATGTCTACCATTGACCAAATAAGAAGGTGGGAAAATAATTTCACGAGATGGAATTCACTCCTTCTCATATAGGGTAAGTAGACAACTCTTCAGTGCCGATTTTGAAACTTAAACAATTGGGTATCACCCTCTCATATGCCCAAGAAGACTTGGTTTATGATTAGATCATAAACAAATTGTTCGTCACAAACTTAAGGTGA